TCTCAGCTGCCCGTACCCCATCTCAGCTGCCCGTACCCCATCTCAGCCCCTAAACTGCGTCTCCAGCTGTTCATATCTGCAGCAGGTAAGTTGCTCATTGTTCACAGAACAACACTTAAAAATGTCTGAACTATCCCTTCAACGTCATGTTTTCCTCCTGCAGAGTTCTTCCTCCTTAAATCGGATTGTTTTCCTGTCAGCTCAGGAACATTTTACTTGGCCAAATGAATACATGTAGTACTTGTTGTGTACCTGCTCTTACCGGAAGGAAGTGATTCAAGTTTTCAGCAGCTTCCGGCTGGCAGACGTCTCGAGACGTGAAGGTGACAGAAGTCAGGTGTATTCAGGTCTGGACCCGAGCAGGGTGTGTGGAGCTGACACTGGATCGTGCTTAATGACAGCGTGAACACAAGCAGATTAAAATGTCGCTTATTATGACGTAATCATTCCGCGCGCATGCGATCCTCATCAGCTGCTGAAGCGCAGGATTTTCGGCCGCCATCTTGGAGCGGTCGTCCTTATTCAGTTAAAGCAGAAGATGTCTCAGCACTTCGCAGCTTCTTTCTGTTCAGATCGACTGTTGACGTCAGGTCTCGGGGGATAACTTCTCACAGTAACATGAACATATTATTGTTAGTATTTTGTGAATATAATATTACTGTACTGTATTTATGTCCACCAGCTGATGTGATGTTCAGTGTAACACGGTGTTCAGCTGCAATGAAGCTGACTGAGATCTGATGACAGGAATATTTTGCTAACAATCATACTCACTATTTCAGCAGCTTTGGTTCATTATCAACAGATCTGCATCAAAACTGGAGTTTTGTTTAAGTTCTAGGAAATAAAAAAATAAAACTAGGGAGAATATAGGAAATAGAAAATAAGCTTGACCTCCTCTGTACAATGTTTTTGTGTAACACAAATGTCCTGTTTTCATTTTGAAGGTTTCCCAAAGAACAAGATGTGAGGAAGAGGAGGAAGTATCTTTGAGGAGGATTCATCTGAGCAGTGAGGATTTTAAACTGGAGGATTTTGATCAAACTGGTCAGACTGTCCGACTGAGAGATGGTGTGGTACCATGGGTTCACCTTCAGAGAGTAGGAGCATCATTATAAGTTCATTAGAGTTCATAAAGTTACATATTTTATTGTGAGTCACCAGGTGAGACACCTCCATGTGTTTCTATGAACAGGTAACTAGAGACTGTAAAGTTCATCTTCATGATGCTTTTTCATTTCAGCTTGAAAACTGCAGGACTACAGGAAGTGAACAAAAGCTGCAGCTGCTCTGTCTGTGCACGCTCAGGAACGTGCACGTCACACACACACTCTCAGGAACGTGCACGTCACACACACAACCTCAGGAACGTGCACGTCACACACACA